ATTAAGGACTAACTATAGACTGTTAGATCAAAATTTTTGAGATGATCTGAACCGTTTTTTATATTGGAATTACGTTGTCCGTTGGATGTCTTTTTGAAATGTTAATATGGAGAAATTCGAATAAATAGTAGTTAAAACTTAATGTTAGCTTGTAAATATATGAAATCTTTGTAATAGAACTTGCACTAACTAGGTTTGATGTTCAAAAGTATTTTGTATAAGTTTGGGTTGATTTTGGAAGGGTTAAAGGTGGATTGGAAATGAAAAAATAAAAAGGAAAAATAGACAAAACTGCCAAAGGGTACCGGTACGCATATCAGTACGCCAAAGACCAGTAGTCATATCGTACCGGTACGCCTAACAAATTTTAGAAATTTTAAGTCGCGATCTGGGTCTGATTTCTTCCACTATAAATACATAAAGCCATCTCATTTGGCCCCATTTCAACACCTCAAACCCTAGAAAACCTTAAAGAGGAAGAAAGGAAGAGAAGAACACAAGATAAAAGGGGATTTGCGCCTTGGATTGAATCAAAATCCTAGATTTCTTCAAGAACACCAAGATAGGGGTTTCTTCCTATTCTCTTACATTGAGGCTAGGGTTTACTTATATGTATTATTTTGACTCTAAATCTTATTTATTTGTTAGTAAATCATCGATTCTTAATATTCTTACAAACACTATCATGTTTTAAACAAATCTATGGTGTGATAACCATTAAATCTCTTCTTCTTGACTTAAAACCCTAGTTTTCAAGAGAAATAAATTTTTCCCTTGTTCTTGTTTTCAAAACTTTAGTGCTTTATATTAAACCACAAAATAGTATTTATGATGATCTCTTGCATATTTTCTTAAATTATTCTATTGGGATACTACTTGTGAAATTTGAGAATTTTTTAATGTAATTGTGATTGAAAAAATTGATTGGATATTTTCTCTCTTGTGGATGTTTGGATGACCATGAGTGGCCGTTGACTAGATATCGTAGAGTGGGTTAGATGCGTTTCTTACTCCGTGTGGGTTTGAAGATTCTCTATCACTCGTAGTGGGGTTGGTGTCTTGCGAGGACTAAATCACTATTCGNTACTCCGTGTGGGTTTGAAGATTCTCTATCACTCGTAGTGGGGTTGGTGTCTTGCGAGGACTAAATCACTATTCGCTCACGTGTTATCGAGGTTGAGGGTTAATATACTATTCCTAAGTTGGATTTGTCACTGCCATGAGTTGGTATACGCCCTTCCTAAAAGTTAGATATCCTTGCGAGGATTTGGGTGTGTGAGGGGGTCAGGATATTCTCGATGTGTTTATTCATGCAAATCATACATTATACCTGAGATACGAATACAAATTGTGGGTTTATGGTTTATTGTACCCGAAACGGTTTTCTACAAGAGCTTGTGGAAGTATGAGATTCTACAAGAACTTGTGGGAAATGGTTTATGGTTGGAAATGATTTGTTATTTGTAATTTGATGTTATTACTTCACTTAATTTATTACTATTGTGTAAACTTGAGATCTATTGAAGAGTTCATGTTTTCTTTCAAAAATTAATATATAATATTTGCGAAATGAGACCGATTTTTTTTACACATTTTCTAAATTTTGTTTGAGATTGGGAGGAATGTTGCTACAGAGCTTAGTGCTCACTCCCTACAAATAATATATTTCCAGATTACGTGTTAGATGAGGAGCTCAGAGTCGATGAATAGGTGCATTGGGAAGCTCCGCTAAACGGGCATGTGGAACCCGAGGTAGATGCTTAGGGCTATACTCTCCTAGGTGCTAAACTAGGAAATTCCTTTTGAGACTCGGTGGAGTTTAATATTATTGTTATTCCGCTGCAAGTTAAATTTGATTCTTTTGGATGTAATTGTCATGGTTTGGCATATTCTTTTGGGATGATATTATAAATATTAGATATGATGAATGAATTTTTTATTTATTGATGAATTATATTAGTTGCTCTCATGATGTGAATGATTTTAAATTATAATACCGTCCAAAGTGATTTTTGGGGCGTTACATATTTTTTGAGTTATGAAGTTAATAGTTAAAAGAACTACGACGCTTCCTGATTTGTATTATGTGTGTGTTTGTGAGGTTCTATATGTTCATTGCAATTTTTGAATGAATTATATTTAATTTACTTCTTTTATGCTTTAATATCTTACCACTCATCTTATTTGTCATGTCAGATAATTAAATCCATATGTAGTGTTTGTGTAACGCCCCAAATACCCCCTCGGACGGCATTACATTCTAAAACCTTTCACAATCATGAGAGCACTAAATAAATCCATAAATAAGAAATTTTTATCCATCAACCATTGATATTTTAACAAAATTCGGGCAGAGTCTCCTTTGTACGGGGAGCTCTACCACAAAATCCAACCTGTGCAATTCTACTATAATGACCACACCGGGTCCAATTAACTACTATATAATCAATCCATCAAATTTACATGTTAACCCAAAAAAATATGCCCACAATGGCATGTACATTCCCAAAGAATTAAACTATGATAAGCAGCGGAATTTCAAAAGATAACTAGACTTTACAATCTTTCAAAAAAAAAATAGCGCCTAGTCTAGAACAAAATAGAAGGGCCGCTCTAGGCGTCCACCTCGGGATCTACGCTCCCGTCGATCGGAGTCTCCCAAAGAACGGGCTCCTCGACTCCTGGCTCCTCCTCAAGGATATAGTCTGAAAAATGTTAACAGTAGGGGATGAGCACTAGGCTCTGTAGCAAAATCTTCCCAACTCCAACAAGGTTTATAAAATACAAAACGGGTCGGTCACATTTCATAAATAACATATATGAATTTGAAGTAAAACGGGACATTTTAAATAGATCTCAAGTTTAAGCCATACAGTAGTTAAGGAGAGAAATAAATTAAGTTTAACCATAGCAAACCATTTCCAACATTAAGTCAATTAGGAGGGGCTCCCTCCGATGCATCGTCCCATACCAATGCACCGGCCAAGCCATTCCAGCCAATCATCACATTTATGTTGGTTCATCCCCGTACCATGTATGTTGATTGTTTCTCATGAATCTACCCAACGATTATACCTAGTCCACCCATTTATAATCACAATCACAAGTACTTAGGGAAGGGGCGTCTACCATCCCAATGGCAGTGACGAGTCCCTCCCCAGGAATGGTATACCAACCCTAGTTCGAACTCCAGGCGTACGATAGTGGTCGCATTACCAAATGACAACTCACTACAAGTGCAAGAAACCATCTCCCCCCCCACTGGGTTCAACTGACATTTACACTCTACGGCATATCTCGTAGGTAATCCAAGTCCCTCCCAACCACCATACAATGAGTAAACCAACATATTCTCAATCAATTCACATTTTACCAATTAATCGCAAAATACCCAAATTTCACAAGTAAAGCGTCATAGCAAGATGGAATTAAAATGAGCAAAAGATCAATATAAAGATCATTTTCGTTGAACAATATCGAACACTAAATTTATAAAGTGAGAACCAAGGCAATATATGGAGAAAACTCAATTTTTCTTAAAACCAAGTTTGGAAGATGAAAAAGAGAAATTTAATGGTTACCAAACCATCCCATTATTCAAACATAGCATTTATTACAAGGAGAATTAAGAATCATACAAATCATATCAAATAAATATGGATGGGAGTGGAAAACATATGTATATACATAAACCCTAGCCTCAATGTAAGAAATTAGGAAGAAATCCCCTACCTCTTGGTTGTAGCTTCAATCTAAGACCCAAGATTCAAAATCTTCCTATTCTCCTTCCTTTTCCTCTTAATTTCGTCCTCCTAGGGTTTCTAGAGATTTGGGTGTGAGTGGTTGAGGAATAGAAGCAAAAGAAATGGGTGGAGAAGAGAAAACTTGAGAAATTCGGTTTTGATCTTTATGAGGTGGGAATCTCTCTTGACCTTGGTGTTTTTCTCTCCCTTTTCTCTTCTCTTAGGGCTCTAAGGTATTTAGAGTGGAAGGGAAATGAAGAATGGGAGAAATAGGGCTTGGAATGGGTGTTTTAAAACCCAAAAATCCCGACTTTTACTGTTCATCGTCTGTTTTGGGGGTTTTCCAGACTTACTGTTTTCCTTATTTTTGATCATGATAAACTTTGAATCTGAAAAAGTGCAAAACATGAAAGTTGTAGATCTAGATGTCTTCTGCATTGTGTCAAAATTTCAGCTCAATCGGACCATTGTAGCAAGAGTTATGACGATTCTACGACAACTGGTCCGGAGTAGGCAATGTACCCGGAGCAGCGCCCCAGCGCCCATTTGGGCGCCCCTTTTCACTTCCAATCCTTCCAACTTTAATCCTAACTTATCCTACATACTTTTCTACATCGACCTAATTAGTTCAAGTTCTTTTATGATTTATTTTGTACATTTTCATACCGAAACTAATCTTTTAACTACTCTTTCCTTGAGTTATACTATTTTATCATTTCAAATGAAATAATTACTGAACACCTATGTCTTTTATTTATTTTTTTTATTTTAAACGCATGTGGGGTATTACAGTTTGACATGGAAAAAACTTATAAATTTCCTTAAGAGTACATCATCAACCCATTTAAATATCAGGACGTGGTTTCCTTTAATAATTAGTTTTCGCCATATAAATAATATTGTCTCCCAATTCATCGAGCTTATATATTCAATATGAATCTCAAGGTCTGTCTGATAACTGTTTTTGTCCCGTGTTTTATGTTTTTGTTTTTAATTTTTGTCAAAAATAAAAACAAAAATATGTTTAATTTATTTTGTTTTAGTTGTATTGGAGACGAAGACAAAAAAATAGAAATAAAAAATTTGTATTTCAAGAAACACAAAACACGCATGATTGATATTAAAGAAGTCTCAACTTGGATTTCTCTTAACTACAAAATACCACTCAATATCAGAGAGTATATAAATGTGGTCTCAATCGTTTGGTCCTCAGAACACAAACGACTCAGCATCGCCCTCTCTTCTCTTCTCTCTTAGCTGATCGATCGAAGAAGGTTTACCTCAAGAGAAGGGACTTCCAGTCACATTTCGACGAAGAAGCCTACGTACAAATCTGTCCTTGAGAGGCCACGAGTCACTGATTTAGTAAGAAAGTGTGCGTGCCCAACAATTGCGGATCAGATAGGGAAACTGGTCAGAGATGAAGTCGTAACCTACTTCTACATTCTCCTCTACATCGCCCTCTCCAGCGGCCAAATCTTCTTCAACAAGGTCTCATCTTCTCTCTCTATCTCTCTCTCTCTCTACTTTGTACATATAAATGTCATCGTATATGTGTAGATCGTGATATGGCATTACATCGAACACTTGGTGTGCCCTTAGCTTTGATATTTCGAGTTATACTGCATTTTATGTCATAAATGTTATGTTCTATGAATACCCTGCTTCGTTTGTTGTGGTACCGCAGGGCAACGATTAGGATGCTGAGAAAATTTAGTGTAAAATATTGAATCCTTTTTAGATTTTTTTGGAGATGTTTAGCTTGATAACCGATGTTTGTGCCCGAGGAGTATAGTTTGAGAGGTGCCTCATTCAATTGGAGTGCACAATTTGGAAGATTTGTAATCTAATATTTGTTATGGAGGTTGTATTGTTGGTATGGAATGGGTGATATGATGGAGATCTATTAAAGGACTTACTGAAAGTGAAAGCTAATTCTTCAAAGACCAAAAGGAAAAAAAATCCTATTCTCACTTCCTATCACTTGTTGACTGTTCAGAGTAATACAATGAGTTGGAAAATTTCTTTTTGCGACAACCAGGAAGGTTCATTTATCTAATTGACGTTGGATTGGAGGTAGGGGAAGGTGCTTTAGGCATTGTAATTCCTAGGTATGTGCACTTGCTATACGCAGATTGGAAGCAGAACTGAGCTTTAATTATTCCGTCCTTTACTTAGAAATCTTGTTGAAGGTAAAATTTGGGGGAACCCAAGAATTTTAAACTTGATTTTGGTAGTTATGTATTTGTGTTAAAGGATAATATAGGAGACATCTTCTCAAAGTGCTTTCTGAAACCCTACTCATTTTTTCCCCTTTGACCAGAGCAAACCTCCACAGCTTGCACCTCTTTCCTGTGTAAAGAGCAATAGATGCGAAACTTTCTGTCTAAGGTTGCAGGGATCCTTTCTGTCAAAAGTACATGAGTTGACAATCAGAAGAGCCAAGCATTACCCTTTCTTATGATATTTATGCCATAAATGTTATTTTAATGTCATCATTTTGTGTATTCTGACTCTTTAATAAACCTAATGGAGGAATTGGTTGTGATACCCACATGCAGTGTAATCATATTTATTTTGGTGACATTGATAATGAGTCCATGAATCTGAATATCAGATGTGTATTTTAGGTTAATGGATTCTTGTGTGTAGATCAGTTGATCATTGTTATATGTTCCTAGAACCATTCTCTGAAAGTTTATGCATTTCAACCCACTGATTAGATCAAAGAGAACAGCTGAAGTTATCTGGGGTTCTTGCAAGGAGGAGATAATTACTGACTCTGACTTGAGAGAAATTGACCTGTACTCCTTCCAAGTTAGTTTGATTTCTCACATTTCTTTCAACAGTGCCTCAGCTTTCATTAAAATTCAGAAAGATGCTTCAATAACAGGTGGATGTAACACTCGAATGCACAGTATTTAATGGTTGCTCGTCCATTATTAATTTTAGGGTCTCCTTAAGCACGAGGGAAAAGCCAAGTTTGGTGCAGCTCATCACCAGTGGCAAATAGATGCGGCAAATTTCAATATTGATGACCATTACCCAGTTAGGGAGTTATGGGGCACGTGCTAGAAGCTACTGGACTAAAATCCTAACCCATGAAAACAGGTATGTGCCGGTGGTTGCTCACAATGCTGTTAATCAGGCTCTTGCTGCAACAGAGGCCTAATGCAAGAAGGAGGAGGTTTGTGATAAATGGCCAGCAGGTTTTTTCTGTGGATTCAACTGGATAGAGGTTTTGACAGTGGAAGTGCAGTTTGCAAATGCTTAGCATGAACAGTCTGGATGGTGGACTGTGTGGATAGTTTTATGGCTTTAGTGTTGTTGAAGGATTAAAGCCAACTCTTTTTAATTAGAGTTCTATGAATTCCTTTGGATCTTGTAATTCATTGATTGATGGAATACAATTTTTTTCTCAAAAAAAAAAATTTGATGTAGGATAAAACTTGAGGTAGTTACCAAACATGTTTTCTATTTTTATTCTCATAATTTGATAGACAAAAATGACTACCAAACGTGTTTTTTGTTTCAGTGTTTATCATAAAATAGAGACAAAAAATTGTCTCTGTTTTTAGTTTTTTGAAGACACAAAAACAAAAACGTTATCAAATGACTCCTCCTCACTCTTTGATGAATTAAAGTGATAATCATTATATACACGTGATAATTTAATATTTCGGGATTAAGAGAATAAACAATCATAATAATCAAGAGGTATTATATGTGTGTGTGTGTGTGAGAGAGAGAAAGAGAGAGAGAGAGCAAGAAATAAATAGTCATATTCTATATATATATATTGATGGACTTATCATCAAATAAGTCTATAAAGGGACTGATTTTCAAATTTTTCTAAAATCAATTCAAACCAAACTCAAATATCTTACCAAACTCGTGCCCAAACCCAAATCCTAAATTGTAATTCCCATCATGTCCTCTTCACGCAACTGCCAGAACCGCATACCCAACACATCTCCATTCTCTCTCTCTCCCTCTCTCACGCAGAGATATATGTATATATATATACAGGGCGGCCCAACAAATTTGGAGGTCCTAGGCAAGAATATGAAGTGGGGCCTTATTAATAGGTAATAATTATTAAAATATATTCTTTTAAAAGCTATTTTTTTAATTTTTTGAAATGCAAAAATAATGATTAAATTTTTATATTAAAGTTTTGTTATATAGCTTTTTCAATAGATAATATAGTTAATCCATTAATCTTTTTTGTGACATAATTGATCGGAGATAAGATTTTATTAATTTAAATTTTGAAAAACTTTTCTTTGCTGAAGCAATTGTTACCGCAATATTCTAAATGCTATACATGCATTTTGAAAAGAATCTAATCGTTTTATATAAGTTAGGCATTTAACAATCAACTATCAAGATTCAAGCATTTAAATTTTGTCAGAAAATGATAAATCAACAATAATATCATAAATATGTAATCAACTTATTACAAATTCTAAGCACACCAAACTTCTAAAAATTTCTAATAAAAAATGAGAGAACAATTGAACAAACCAGTTTATTATAATAGATTGAACCCAAAAAATTTTGATCCTTGAATCTTGATCGTTATCAATTAATTGATAGATTTTTGAACTACAAGAAAATAGAGAGATTTGGTGTTCTTTCTTTGTTCAGATTCAAGCTTCACACTTCATAGAGAGAGAGCATGAGGGAGTGGCATTAAACAAACACTGTGGTTTGTAAGTGAATCTCAGTAATGATAGCAGTTAATAAATTTGTGTAAGAAAGATAGAGTGATGCTGAAAAATTTGTCTAATTCCTTCACAGATGAGAGAGAGACATTTAGTCGTTTACCTTCCTTGTTTCAGAAATCTAGCAGTCTAATATAGCTGGCAAGTGAAAAAAATTTTTAGATAAATTATTGAAATGTTAATGGACCTATCATTAAAATTTTAATCCTTTTAAATTAGTTCCTCCAAAATAAATGTACTCATAATTAAAAACCTTAGAGNGACCATTACCCAGTTAGGGAGTTATGGGGCACGTGCTAGAAGCTACTGGACTAAAATCCTAACCCATGAAAACAGGTATGTGCCGGTGGTTGCTCACAATGCTGTTAATCAGGCTCTTGCTGCAACAGAGGCCTAATGCAAGAAGGAGGAGGTTTGTGATAAATGGCCAGCAGGTTTTTTCTGTGGATTCAACTGGATAGAGGTTTTGACAGTGGAAGTGCAGTTTGCAAATGCTTAGCATGAACAGTCTGGATGGTGGACTGTGTGGATAGTTTTATGGCTTTAGTGTTGTTGAAGGATTAAAGCCAACTCTTTTTAATTAGAGTTCTATGAATTCCTTTGGATCTTGTAATTCATTGATTGATGGAATACAATTTTTTTCTCAAAAAAAAAAATTTGATGNTTCTTGTAATTCATTGATCGATGGAATACAAATTTTTTCTCAAAAAAAAAAAAAAAATTGATGTAGGATAAAACTTGAGGTAGTTACCAAACATGTTTTTTATTTTTATTCTCATAATTTGATAGACAAAAATGACTACCATGTTTTTTGTTTCAGTGTTTATCACAAAATAGAGACAAAAAATTGTCTCTGTTTTTAGTTTTTTGAAGACACAAAAACAAAAACGTTATCAAATGACTCCTCCTCACTCTTTGATGAATTAAAGTGATAATCATTATATACACGTGATAATTTAATATTTCGGGATTAAGAGAATAAACAATCATAATAATCAAGAGGTATTATATGTGTGTGTGTGTGTGAGAGAGAGAAAGAGAGAGAGAGAGCAAGAAATAAATAGTCATATTCTATATATATATATTGATGGACTTATCATCAAATAAGTCTATAAAGGGACTGNAGAAAGAGAGAGAGAGCAAGAAATAAACAGTCATATTCTATATATATATATTGATGGACTTATCATCAAATAAGTCTATGAAAGGGACTAATTTTCAAATTTTTCTAAAATCAATTCAAACCAAACTCAAATATCTTACCAAACTCGTGCCCAAACCCAAATCCTAAATTGTAATTCCCATCATGTCCTCTTCACGCAACTGCCAGAACCGCATACCCAACACATCTCCATTCTCTCTCTCTCCCTCTCTCACGCAGAGATATATGTATATATATATACAGGGCGGCCCAACAAATTTGGAGGTCCTAGGCAAGAATATGAAGTGGGGCCTTATTAATAGGTAATAATTATTAAAATATATTCTTTTAAAAGCTATTTTTTTAATTTTTTGAAATGCAAAAATAATGATTAAATTTTTATATTAAAGTTTTGTTATATAGCTTTTTCAATAGATAATATAGTTAATCCATTAATCTTTTTTGTGACATAATTGATCGGAGATAAGATTTTATTAATTTAAATTTTGAAAAACTTTTCTTTGCTGAAGCAATTGTTACCGCAATATTCTAAATGCTATACATGCATTTTGAAAAGAATCTAATCGTTTTATATAAGTTAGGCATTTAACAATCAACTATCAAGATTCAAGCATTTAAATTTTGTCAGAAAATGATAAATCAACAATAATATCATAAATATGTAATCAACTTATTACAAATTCTAAGCACACCAAACTTCTAAAAATTTCTAATAAAAAATGAGAGAACAATTGAACAAACCAGTTTATTATAATAGATTGAACCCAAAAAATTTTGATCCTTGAATCTTGATCGTTATCAATTAATTGATAGATTTTTGAACTACAAGAAAATAGAGAGATTTGGTGTTCTTTCTTTGTTCAGATTCAAGCTTCACACTTCATAGAGAGAGAGCATGAGGGAGTGGCATTAAACAAACACTGTGGTTTGTAAGTGAATCTCAGTAATGATAGCAGTTAATAAATTTGTGTAAGAAAGATAGAGTGATGCTGAAAAATTTGTCTAATTCCTTCACAGATGAGAGAGAGACATTTAGTCGTTTACCTTCCTTGTTTCAGAAATCTAGCAGTCTAATATAGCTGGCAAGTGAAAAAAATTTTTAGATAAATTATTGAAATGTTAATGGACCTATCATTAAAATTTTAATCCTTTTAAATTAGTTCCTCCAAAATAAATGTACTCATAATTAAAAACCTTAGAGGGCCCAAAATTTTACAAAAATTGGGGCCTAGCCGCCGACTAAGTGGCCTAGGCCTATATATATATATATATATATTAACACACATATACACATATATAAACGCAGTGATGACAACTTTGGACAGAGAAGAACATGCTGGAATTGGATCTGAGGAGAAAAACTCATCAAAACGCACGGTTATGGAAAATTTGGAAAAAGAATTTGCTGAAATTGCAGTAGAGGAGGAATTTCCTGATGAATTTCAGTGTTGCGTCTGCCTGTAAGTTATACGCTATACATATGGTTTCGCATTGCGTGATTGTTTGCATATTTCTTGCGTTCTGAAGTTAAGAGTTAAAAGAACTACGGCGATTCCTGATTTGTATTATGTGTGTGTGTAAGGTACTATTTGTTTGTTGCAATTTTTGAATGAATTACAGCGGCGTTAGTTTGTTAATCTATGAGAAATATGCTGATTATATGTGGAAGCATGTGCTACAAGAAATTGATTGAAGAACAAACTTGGTATTTTTTTTGCTGATAACAAACTTGGTATTTGGGCAAATTCAAAGAATACCAAAAGTTGCAGGACAGGTTGTGTGCGTGTGGGTGGAAAAAGATACGGGGATGGAATTTTTTTTAGTGGTCACTACTCAATTTTGGTTCACGTAACCATCTCCAATGAAACCCCAATTATAACCACGTCAAAGGGGTTTTTGGTTATCTTCTGTGTGAGTAATCAACTATTTTCCATTAAAGTTGCTTTTGCTTTGACAAATAATGTGATTGATTGTAATTTTCCTTTTTTTGTTTATTTTTCAGGGATCTCTTGTACAAACCAGTTGTCTTAGGTAAAAGGGCATTGCAAAAGCTACAAATTGGTCGTTGTTTCTTCACAAAGTTCAGTTCCCTTATTTCCTTGTTTGCAGGGTGTGGTCACCTTTCATGCTTCTGGTGTGTTTTCAAAGCTATGGATAGTTGGCAGGAGTCGCACTGTCCAGTTTGTCGGGAGCCCTATAATCATTTTCCTAGTATCTGCAGATTGATGCATATCTTGCTTGTGAAGTTGTACCCAATAGCCTATAAAAGAAGGAAAAGACAAGTGTTAGGTGCGTCTTTTTCAATACTTTATTGCTTTCATTTCTCCAGATTGGTTTATATAGACAATTAATTCCACTAATAAATGTTTACAATATCTTGACGCCTTGAATTGAAAAATTTTAAAGATTGCTTAAAACTTGCGAATGTTCAAAATATTTGAGCAAGAGTCGTAAAATTCATAGTACATCGCACAAAGCCAATTCCTGAAAATTGTGAGTCACAGAGGTGATAGTGCTGTTGGATCTGAAGGGAGTTTCCTGCAAAAATAGAAAGCTTTAGTGGGTTGCTGCTATCTAGAGTGAGATTGAGTACTTTTAGGGTTTTTATTGCCCTAGAGTCTCAAAACAGAGGGCAGCAAAAAAGGTGCTTACATATCAAGAATTACTTTTTCTTTGGAGACAATGGTGGAAGAGGGACGTGCAAGTATTCTTACATTGTGCAGTTCTGTGACTCTGTCATCCAATTCTGGCGAGTTGCATGAACGACTACGCCATACTGCTTGCCAAAGTCTTCCGAAGAGGTTTGACTTTAATGAGCTTGAGCATATATTGAAGTAGGATCCAGTTAAAAACGGACCCACGCGATTAACCGTTGCTCTTGGTTGGATTGTTTTAAGTAAAGGATCACATTTCAAGCTCTTCTTGAAAATGTTTCCCTCAATGACAGTTGTATATTTACTTATAGGGATGACAATGGCCAAGTCTAAGGTTAGAGCTTTATGCCAACACTATGGGCATACCATGGAGACTTTAATTCGGCTAAATGATAGTCCGATTTGATGTCTATGTCCTAACCCCAGACCACTTTAGATGCTACTCAGGTCACTATTGTATGTAAGAATCTTGTTGAAATAAACAAAAAAAAAAAATAGTTTAAGGGCTTGAACCACACCATTTGATCACAACTTCAGTCCCTACATGTAAACATGTTGAAGCTGATCATGTAAACTAGGGAGTGATATTGACGAAGCAATAAGTTTAGATTGTTGTGTTGCAATACTTTGGAAACCCACCATCGAGAAATGAATGCTACCTTAAAGTCAAGGAAGTGAAAGTAATATATGAAATACAACCACTGTTCAAGGTTTTAGTATTGGTCAAAGACTTGTAGGGTATTAAGATGCATCGGTCGCGTCGCGCCTACAACATTGGACGATCCACATGAAAGGTTAAATAGGAAAAGTTGGACATGTCTGGAGATTTAGGCGAAAACGCGGCTTTGCATAAGGATATTATGCGATATGCTATGAGTTGATAAGGATGACTCGGCCTAGTCAACTTATACATCTCCAACGCAACCACAATTCGAGTGAGACTTATGATTTGCACAGAATGTGACCACATTTTATTCAAAGATGTGTTTGATATTTCAAGCTATTCCAAAACTGCTACAATTTAAAAAAGATGGGCTTTATTTCCAAGCTATACCAACATTTCTTAATGGGCCAAAGCGCACATTGAAAATTCATGTTTCCTTTGTGGATGAAGGACATGAAGGTAAGGTCTCTTTGTAAATCAGTTCTATGGGGCATGAAACCAAGAATCTGGTGGTGTTTAAAGGGGCTAAATTTGTTCTTCCTTGTTCTAATCCACAATGAATGATGTCAAAAGTGGAAAAGTTTAACTGTAGAGTGGCCTATGCCAAATGACTGCTCTTAATGTGAAATGTAAGACTCCGCTTCCATGGTTTAACCAATTTCCTTCTTAGATGCATCAAGGCCTTTTGTAGGTTTGCGACTCTGTAAGAATCATATATTGAGAAGTGGCTCGATATCAACACTCACACATACACCCACAAGGCATGATACAGTTCTCTACTGTCCTGCAATATTCATAAACTATGCATTTGCATGTGAAAAAGTAATGCAGATATGGGAAAAAAAAAGTGTAGCAAGGCCTATTTCGCTAAATAAATCTGTGGGATGTTTAAAGTAATGAGTTTCCTTGCCCATGATCTAACGTATTTCCTTCTTAAGTGTATCCTGGCCTAAAACCTTGTAGCATTGAAACTTTATTAATGAATCATAGATTGAGAAGTGGCTTGATATATGCACACACATCATACATCGGAGAAGAAAACTGTTATCAGCTTTCATTGATTTACCCCACCTTTTAACTTGGTCTAAAGTCTGAATCAGTCTCAGTCAATTCTATATCAGAATAACCCAAGCTTGGACATATGATGCAGAAAAATAAAGATAAAATCCAGAAGGATCAAGTTGGTTTGACTATATAGTTGGAGCAGCCAAGCTTTAAAATTTTTACCAGTATATATATCTACCAATATTGATCACAAAAGAACCAGATGGTCGATATGGTTTTGGATCTGTCTGACTGTATGCCTAGTTAAATTGACATCTCTGTATTGGTGCAATATGGTTCATCATTTGAAATTCTAAGGGATTTATATAATGAATTGATGTTGTATTTTTTAACTTAAATTTTAATTTGCCTTTCTGTTAAACTGTCTTTTAAGTTACTAGCTCTATATCACTACTGTGCTCACCTCTGTTGAAGCATGTAGTACCAGACTGGTTAATATTATCATTTCTTAGTCTGTATTATCTAGGGTTAATTACTACATCATTCATTGGTCCTTGAAATTTGTTGGAAATTTCAAATTGATCCTTAATCTTTGAGTTTTCTCAAATTGGCCTTCAAATATTGTCATTTGCTTCAACGTATCCACTCTTTTAACGATTATTAGAATTTTGGATCGAAAAAATCATGTTTGTATCACAGGACTGATATTGAGACATTTTTGTCATTGTATATATAAAAAAGACATAAATGCAAAATAAAAAGTAAAAAAAAAAAAAAAGAGGCTGCCTTCCTCTCCGTCTTAATCTCTCTACCACTCCATCCACCACAAAGGCCCACCCAAACGCAAAGCAACCACCCCCATCCTTGTCAACCCACCACTCTTTCTCTCTAACCAATGATTGCAAACTCATTCCAAGTTTCTAGCAAACAACAAAAAACCCACCTCTTCTCTCTCTTAAAATTCCATTCATGGTTTCGCTAAAACTCCATGAGAACTTTGTCTTGGCAGCAGATCAAACACATATGCAGAGCAAACCTCAGCTTTCCCACACCTCCAGAATATCTATGGCAGGACCACTTTCTATGGAAGCAGTTACAACGAACTCCAATGGATCTTATCTTTATCTTAGAAGTTGATGAGGAGAAAATCCCAATCCTTTTAAGGATTTGAATAAAATTTTGGTTTTTATTCCATTGAGGAAATGTTTTAAAGTTTGAATGAATTCAAGTGGAATTTTTTTTTTTTTTTTTTATGGTTGTTTGAGTTATTTAGGGTTATATGGGAAAGAGGTTCATTTATGTTGTATTTTAAGTTGTTAAAATGTACGAAGGTTGAAGGAATTTGAACTTTTGTATCCTATTTTCATTCTTTTGGAGGAAATAGTGCGGAGTTTGTAAGGTGGGTTTTGGTGGTGGTTGGGACTGAATGTGAGATAGAGAGAGAGGAGTGGGCATTTGTTGTTTAGGCTGTTTGCAGCATGTTAGAGAATGGGTAGCTTTGCAGTTATTGGTTAGAGAGACAGATAGAATGGGTGGTTAATGGGAACGACAATGATTGCTTGGAGTTCGGGTATATCTTTGCATGGAGGGTGGATGGGGTGATAGAGAATGGGAGGCATCTTAATCTCTTTTTCTTTTGAATTTATGCCCTTTTGAGATAAACAATGATTGAAATGTCGCCCACCATCAGTTTGAAAGGTGAAGGAAATGTTATGGAGTTTGAAAGGTGGGTTTGGGTTATTATTATTATTATTTTTTTTTTTTTGGGGGGGGAGGGGGGGAGGTGTTGGAGGAGTGGGTGTCTATTGTGTGCAGAGATAGTGGCAGGGGGTTGGTTCAAAGTATGTTAACAAAAGGGAATCTTTGCAGGTGTTCGTTAGAGAGTGGCAAGTTGGAGTTTACAGTTGCTTGGTGTTCGGGGTGGATCCTTGCGGTGGATGGGTTGTGAGAGGGAGGCGACCTCTATTTTTTCTTTTTCTTTGATTTTTTGAATTTCCATTATTTGGATACTAAATGACAAAAAATGTCCCTCAATATCAGTCATGTATTAATACGTGGGACCACATTGGAGCAATGTCATTAGTTTCAAGGACAAAATTTACAAGAACAAAAGGTTAAAGACCAAATTAAAATCACTGCAAACTTTAGTGACCTATTGTGTACAGTGTACTGAATCCTAGTATCTAATAGAGTGGTAGTATCTAATGTCATTCTGTTTCATCTTCAATGTTCCAGAAGAAGAGAAGAAATCTGGATCCTTCTCACCCCAATTTGATGATTATCTATCGGCATCCAGTTTTGGTACGGAGTTAGATAATAAAGATGCCTCTTCTCCACATTCTACTACCAGTTTACATGAAAGGTGGCATTTAGAATATGGTTCATGTGAAGGGAAAACTTCTCTAATTAAATCTTCATCCGAAATTAATCGACCTGATAAAGAGAATACAACTACCACATCGAGTTATCAAGCCATGGGGGATGTGGTTGGTCAAGAAATTAGTATGCCTGGAGATAAAATTGCACATGGAACTTGCCAGCGGGTATTTATTACTGATCTGCTGTGTGCTTTGTGCAAGCAACTTCTCTGTCGACCTGTAGTTCTCAATTGTGGCCATGGTAAACCTTACCACTTTAAATAGCCATTCTGTGCATTGGGAAATAGATTATTATTGGAAAATTCATATTTTTTCAGCATCTTCCTTTTTGCAGTATATTGTGAAGCTTGCATCATCAATCCAGGAAATAAGGCGTGTAGTTGCCACTTATGTCCAAGTGTTCATCCAAATGGGTTCCCAAATGTTTGTTTGGTTCTGAAGCATTTTTTGGAGGAGCAATTTCCTGAAGAATATGCATCAAGAAAAGAGACTGTACTTACAATGACTGATTGTCAACAGGGGAGTCCATCAACCTGTATGTTCTACTTTCTTTGTGGTATTTTATTAATATGCTCCTGTTGGTTTAATGTGGATCATTACTTAGGTCTGCTTGTGATACAAATTTTATGGAAGTTACATGCATGCTTAGACACAAGTACTTGTAGTCATATGCATACCTGCATATGCACATTCTCATCCATTTAATATTCTGCACTCAGTAAGCATGATACGATGTGATGCGTGCATTACTTCACATGCATGTAGTACTCATTTTAGACTTTTATTGAGGGGATGTATTATGCATAACATACCAAATATCTTGAATAAATTAACTGTTGCAGTGGTAAAGTGGTGCTCTTGAAAAGAAAATTGATGATTGAAAATACCTTTTCAACACTATAATAGTGTTGGTGAACGTAACGTTTTGAAATAGTGTTAGTTCTGCCGAAAAGAGACCATTGGAGTGGTACGATTTATAGGCACATGAATGTTAAAAATAATTAGTTTTTGCCTAATATGGCATAAATTTATAACAACCTCTATTCCTTGATCCCATGGTTTCTCCATTCATTATCCTCTTTTTGCATCTCCGTTCCACTTGACCAATAAGCCATTAAGTGTTATTATTGCTTATGATGCAGAAAATTCTGTGCCCTTCTTGTTGCATAACATTTCACAGATAACTGGGTCACTATGAGCATAATATTATGAACATTACATGGCAGGTGCAGTCAAATGTAATTTTGGTGATCCTCCCTAAATTTGAGCACTGTTTTACGTAACTTGACATCAGGTTCAGTACGAGCTCAACAAGAAGCTGCTACACATGAGTCATTGCCCAGAAATATTTACTCATCATGGTGGTCTGGCCAGGGGCCTAAAGTTCATCCTGGAGTTGGTTGTGATTATTGCGGGGTAATGTTACTGCACTCTTCTGGCTTAAATTTGTTCTCCACTCCTAAAATGGAAAAAAAGGAATAAAAAAGTTGTTCGGTGGTTGTAATATCAAATTGATCTTGACCTATCATTTCCAAGGAAATTGATAGTGAACAGAGATGCTAAAATGGTACGTTAAGTTTTTGTTCATGTTTCATATGTTTACAAGTTAGCTGTCTATTGGAAAATAGAGAATCGGGAGATATGTCATGCCTGGGTTTATTACATTTTGACCATGGATTTTTTGGTGGCAGTATATGGGCATGTTACCAGAAGGGAAACCATTTATTCAGCAGAATATTAAACTTTCGATAGTCTAGATGATGCAATGCTTGTGCATAGTTGTCTAGCAGTGTCTTTGCTTTCATTGGCATTAACATTGGAGATTTTTTTGTGACTTCACCTTTGGAAAGCTTGAGAGAGGTAGACAAAAGGCGAGGAGGGATGAAGACAATCTAACCACGGGATGAAATACAAATCCCAGTATAATATTTGAAACTGTGGGAAACAAACACTCATCTGGTCTCTTTCTGATGCAAGGAATATAGCACCGTGCAATCTAAAGCCCATAGACTCAAGAGAACTAGTTTAAAACATTACTTACACCACTTTTTTACGCAGATGTGTCCTATTATTGGTGAACGATACAAATGCATGGACTGCCTGGAGAAAATAGGGTTTGACTTGTGTGAAGGATGCTATAATAGTTCCTCCAAGCTTCCTGGCCGATTTAATCAGCAGCATAAACCAGACCACAAGTTTGTGGTTGTACAGCCAAATCTCGAGGGTACTTTAATATTGCTAGGTCCTGAACATTCTGAAGAGGATGGCTCCAATGATTCAGAGGACCAGGAAGATGTTTCACCTGCTCCTAACTCTTCAGATGATGCTCCACGGGATCTAGAAGAAGGTGCAGCTCCTCATATACCCTCATGTAATACCTTAGAAGAAGATCAAGAAGGTACCGACTCCATGCTCTGAACTCATTCATTTTCACTTTGTTTCATCTTCGTCATTTTGCAACTGAAACTGCGCTTCCTTGTAAATTTTCTTTGCATTGATGATACCTTTATACATTCGTAATAACAAAATTTGTGTTGCCATTCCACCACATGAGAAACATTGTCATAGGACAGAAAACTCAATAAATCAAGACACCAGGATCTATTTGATGTTATATCATAGACTGCTGATTTCAGTGTTTACATGAGATTCCATAATAGGAGAAAATATTCAGTGCTTGCAAGGTATCACGTGACACTGCCTTCTCGTGTACATCACACACAACACACAAAATGTTTTACATTGGGTAAAACATAATTGGTTTTTGAGGCTTGGCAAGTCTTAGTGAATTTTGTATCTGGTATGATATGGAAATGATGTACATAACCCTAGAAAGACTTAACAGGAGCGGAGCCAGGATTATGGGTTAGGGGAGTAAAATATAGTAAAAGTAAATAATTAGCTGAAAAAAAAGTTAAGTTCAAACACGAAAAACTATATAATGGTTGGGGACCAAATTGGTGTATGAAACACCAAAATCAGTTTTCATCTAGTCTAAACAAAATTTGATGAAAAAAGAAATAAAATAATTTTTTTTAGCATATTTCAATTTAAACGTATCGTCTATGATTGATTAATTCTAAATTAAATTTTTCATAAAATTTCTTTCAATATATTCAATCGTGGACTTCCTTGACAAAATTATTGTTCATTTAGTTGTGAAGCATTATTCTCTAACTTGTTGAGAAATTGACTATTTAATAGAGCAAAAATTACTTTTGGGTGATCCAAAAGTAGGGGGGCAAGTTTCCCTCTCGAGCCTAAGGTGGCTTCGCCANTTGTTGAGAAATTGACTATTTAATAGAGCAAAAATTACTTTTGGGTGATCCAAAAGTTAGAGGGGGGCAAGTTTCCCTCTCGAGCCTAAGGTGGCTTCGCCTCCAGAGACTAATGCAACTCGTATTGCATTTTTACACCAAGTTCGCCTCAGCAAATGAGGTGGCACATTTACCACTATTAAATGTTCATGAGATCCACTTATCAGATGACGATGATGAATTTACTAATATCATTTGATGACAAATATTAGGGTAGAAATTTGATGGGAGTAGTATGGTTTTGGTAGAAACACAAGTACTCAATTGAAGTTCGAGGTTTTGGTGTCATATGGCCTGCTGTACATGTTGCTTTCCTTTTCAGCTCTGGTAGTTCTGGAACACAATGGTGGGAACTGGAAAGCTGGTTATTGTGTGTTATTTGGAGGCATCGTGGCCTCTCAGTTGTTGTGACCTAACTAAGAATTAGTACCTGTGATCGATCTTAACAGCATATGTTGTGACCTAACTAAGAATTCATGATCGATCATAAAGAGGGATAAGGTAAGGTACCGAACAGAAGTTTTCATTACAAGCTCGAAGAGCTTTATCCGCCAACGGCCTATGTAGTAGTTGGCATTCTATAAGCAATTTGTCGAGTCTACGAAGCTTTGTTTCTTGTAATCCGTGTAGAAGTAAACTCTCTAAATTTTTCACTAACCTTTTTCTTCAGTAATCTTACAACGAATAAGAGTTTTTTTAATTATTGTAAATTCATACAGAACAATCAACGAATTCCAAAGAGTTGCTTAGTAATCCTTAGGTTGTAGCACGTCCGGTCATTGACTTCTCGTGCCATTATCTCAAATAAATTGAAATAACCAAAAAAAAAAAATTCATATGTGCCACATTTTTATTAGTTAAAAAATGAGGTATAATATGGAATAATAATTTTACAATGTCCTTGTTGTATCTATAGTGTACTTCTTTCATGGCATGCTCTTGTCTCGGGTGTCTTTCAATGGTCTTCTAACCTTTGAAGAAGTCGTGTCTGTCCCTGACATCTGCGACGTCCTCCCACATGGTTGTGCTACCAGTAGCCACTACCCTTAATGGACCAGTGAGAGATAGTATTTGATGTAATAAGTCTTCTGAAGCCAACTGCCAACAAAACAAAGACTGGAGACCAACTCCAACGGATATACCCCCTATGCTCATTGGAAGACCAATTATGGAAAAAAAATATTATGTTTAACCGTTATATTATATCGGCAGTGTGACATGGTATAACTATTTACTAACAGATATACAAATTAGTAAATAGGCCCCATTGAAACTCATAATTATAAAACTATGTCATATATAACTATTTCTATGATAAAAAGTGAGTCTTACGCGTCAAGACATAAGATTCAAATTTTCTCTAATTTTTTTGGTAAATTATTCACAATTATATTTAAAGGGTTTTCACTAAAATTCACAATAAGTAATCTACTAAGAGTTCGTTTGGTTAAGAAAAAAAAATGATAGAAAATGAAAATGAAAATGATAGAAAATGAAGTGAAAGGAAAAACAATAATAAAAAATATATTTTCATACATGTNAATGATAGAAAATGAAAATGAAAATGATAGAAAATGAAGTGAAAGGAAAAACAATAATAAAAAATATATATTCATACATGGATTTGTTTAGAATGAAAAATTTACCAAAAAATGTTAAAAAAATTTCATTCTATTATTTGAAAGAAAAGAAAGTTATAAGATTTTTTTTGTAATTATCTAAAGTACCCTTAATTATATTAAATTGGTCTAAAAAGGAAAAAAATATGTAATTTTAATTGAAAGTTAAATTTTTTTTAAAAAGTGACTCGAACCTTAATTCTAAGACAATCACCAACACAGATGTCTTTGGGCCAAATTTTATGATTAATCAAATTCATATCAAATTTTTTTTAAAATTAATAACTAATGAAATATTTTAAGAAAAATAAGGGTAAAATGGAAAGTTAATTATAGATCACAACTTTCTTGTATTTTCTTGTGTTTTTTACAAGGAAAAAAAGTTGGTTATTTGTGAGAAAATGCAAGCATGAAAGAAAATTATTTTTTCTATTATTTTTCTTTTCATGTTAACCAAACACATAAAAAATTTATCTTTCTTGTATTTTCTATCATTCTCCTACTAAACAAACGAACCTCAAAAAAAAAAATAATAAGGAACGCGTACATTTAAAGAGATCGCACTCCCAAAATATATTGGCAACCTACATGAATGTTGTACGGTTGAGAAGTATACGTTTCAAGTTAGTCTTGCTAGTGGGTCATCACTACGATTGAGGAGCATTAATTTTCTTACTGAAGTTAGGGGGATCGGTCGTGACTGATAAGATTAGGGGTGGCAAAAAACCAATTTGAATTAGTTATGGGTTGGGTTAAATTAGATCAGCTTAAAATAAATTAAATCAATTTTTCACTCACCTAGTAAATGAGTTATAATGAGTTGAGTTTATAACGTGTTGGATTAAACTGATTAACCCATAAAATAATTAAAATTAAAATTCTTAATAAATACATTAGTACTCTAAAACACACACACATATTAGTAATACACCAAAATACAAATATATACACACTAATACACTAAAATATATACACATATATTAACACAAAAACTAAAACATATTTAATAAAAAAAATACACACATAAGGGGGTCGGGGTCAATTATGGGCTATGGGATAGTCTATGGGTCACAGAACATGGGTCAATCCGTGGGCTATGGGTCAACTTATAACTTACCATAAGATTAACAAATCATGTCGACATTTTAAATAGGAATAGTATTTTCCTTTCCTACCACTGACATGAGGGTGCTTCACAATATGAAAGATTACCTAGTCTCCAAGGTTTATCTATCATCACCCCAAGCAAGGCCTTATCAGAAGCATATCATTGTGACCTATGTGTTCTAGATGATTCAATAGACTATTAATCCGTCCACGGGAAATTTTATTGTACTGATTTTTTGTTTTTTATACTGATATTGTTGGTTATTATTTTATATGATAAAATTATAACTTTAAAAAGAGAAGTTGTAACTGTTCGAAGGAGGTCATGAAAAAATGCAGTATTGATCTCAACATTCTATAATTGATCATGTCCTTTAAAATTGTAACTTACATCTCAAAAAATTATAATTTAATTTCAAAAAATTGTAATTTTTGATACCGGTACTACCGACGGTACCATAGAAACTTCCCAAGTGTACAAGGAATACAACGATAGGAAAAGATGGGGACACAAATTAGGAAATAGTTTATCAAATAATCCACCATTGATTTCCTAATTCTTCTAATAATTTTCGGGATCTATCCAAGTTTTGCTAATGTGGATAGATTCTCACCATGTAAAATAAATTGAAGAATCTTCCAATTATTTTTATAATTAGAGAGAAAATAAACTCAAAAACCTAAGATAAACTAGATTAGTTGACTAAACAAATTAAAAAATTCTCCAATTATCTTACGATTGGAGAGGAGTCTAACACAAAACTTTAATGCCAAACAATAACTTTTTAAGTTGCGATCGAAACCAAACAAGATAAGGGGCATTTTTCCATTTCGAGTGGTCAAGAGTCAAGCCATTAATGGAACTAGAGCTCAGTGATTTTTAAGGAATTTTGTGCCACAAAAATTTATGACTTACCAATTTCATCAATGGCCAGAAGGTTCATTGAACTATTGAAATCCTAGAAAAAAAGAAAACGAGAGAGAGAGAGAGAGAGAGAGCTCTGTCTTCAAAGAGGCATACAAAAAGCCATTTCATTTTCACCACTGGTCCCATACCTTGACTGTAATTTCCCTAATTCCAGACTTCCAAGGTTTGATTTGAAAAAAAAAATGTGAGATTACACTAATTATATTTGTAACAGCAATTGGATATCATGAATTCAAGAAATATAAATCAACTATGCCTTTTTTTTTTTTTGTGAGACATTATTATATGGAGGGGGATAACGAAATTTGAACTCACGATCTTAAGATCTAATTACGGGATTGTAATTATTAGGCTAACTGCTAACCTCAATTTAAAGATTGATTTCTTATACCCATTCTTTTCGAATTCTATTAGATCCAAATTTAAATTAGGGTAAAAAGACATACAAAAAAAAAAAAGTGGGCAAAAAACTTTCTTCAATCTTATACCCAAACCTATACCAAATGAAGAGAAACTTTGTTCTAAAGCTATACCCAAAAATCTAATGGTAAAATATATATTATCTCTCTTCTTTTCACACCGCTTCAACTCTGTGTTTGTCAGTGGATCTCTCTTCAAGTAAACCCTCTCTCTCTCTCTCTGGGGTCACAAACACCATATGTTTAGGAATCTATATATATATATATATATATATACATCTTTATACTTTCAAAAAATATATATCTATATAATAAAATAATTTACAATTCAAATCTCAAAAGATAAACAAAATAACTTTTGTTATTCGCAGTTGAGATCGTTTTAAACGATACTTTAAAGTTAATCTAACGGTTAAATATTAACACCTAAATTTAATAGAAAAATAGGCCCCTAAGGGTGTGTTTAGAATGACTTTTTAAATTATTTCTCATAAATATTTTTTTTAAAAATAGTATTTGAAACCGGTCCACCATTGCCACCACCTCCACCGTTACCACCACCACAACCATTGTCGCCGACGCCACCATCATCGCAGCCGCCATTGCCGCCACCACCACCACCCTCACGATCACCACGGTCATTTCCACCCACTACAACCATCATCGTCTCCTACCACCACCATTATCGCCCACCATCTCTCACCCCCCATTACAAATCAATGCTTAAATTCATTTATAATTTCTTTATATTTGTGATTTGATTTTGAATATAAATATAAATATGTTTATTATTTACCATTTTTTATTACTATGTACTTTCAAGCACAGACAATAACTGGTACATCTATATAAGAATTTACACACACACACACACACACACANTCTCTCTCTCTCTCTCTCTCTCTCTCTCTCTCTGGTCACAAACACAATATGTTTAGGAATCTATATATATATATATATCTTTATACTTTCAAAAAATATATATATAGATATATATACTTTCGTATACTTAATAGAATTTGGAATTTTCATTATTACATACGAATTTGGAATTTTCAATTTGCCACAAGAGGCACTTAATGAAATTTTGCCACAAACACAGTGCATACGAATTATGTACAAACGAATTTGCCACAAATGCAGTACATACAAATTATGTATATACGAATTTAGATTTTTTTTTTTAAGAAAAAAGAGTTATTGGGATAACATTGGAATTTTTTAAAAAAATTTGAGTCTAAAAAAGAGTCCGTCCATTGGAAAAATCTCTATCAAATCAATTTTTTTACTCTTTTTTTTACTCAAATTTGGGTAAAAGTTTGTGTGAGATGAGAGACGATCTTAGGCCCTTTTTCATGCTCTTCTTTGCNATTTTTTTTCATCTAATTATGATTAGGACTGTTAATCGAACTAAACTACTCGATTTTGGCTCAAATTCGACTCATTTTTTATTCTTTTTGACTCGTTCAAATCGAGTTCGTTTAGAAAACGAACTCGAACTTAAACAAGTTTTTAAGTTCGTTTAAAAAACAAGTCCGATAAGTTTGACAAACTCAACTGATTTATGTGTAAATATTCGAACTCGACTCGTTTTCTAAACGAACTGAACTTAAACAATTTCTTAGACTCGATTAAGAAACAAGTTTTTTAGACTTGGTTTGAGTTCGGCTCGAACTTGGTCGACTAAGAGTCCTAATTATGGTACCGATAAAACTTGTTTTTTCTTTGAAATATGAATATCCACATTATAAAAAAGGATATACTATTTTTCACCGGGCTCGTAAAAGAGACTTGTTTATTTTTTATTTTTATAAAAAAATAATAATAATATTCAAACTTGCTGTCTTAAAATCTAATATACGGACAATAAGCATTAGGCCAACTTTTAATTTCAAAAGTGGAGGAAACTTGATAATGCCCTCTTAACCCCAACGTAGAGTGGTCCCCATTTTTAAGGGGTGGGGCATAGGTTTTAACGTAGTAAATACTTAAACAACAAAAAATAATAATTCAATTCCAGGTTCTTTGCACTTGGCCACAAATAAGAAGGTATCCAATGCTTAGTTCTCGCGAGTCTTATAAGTCCCCTACAACTCGTATCGCGAGTTAATAGCTGTGTACATTGTTTTCATTTTTGTATTTCTTTTCTTTGGTTAAACAATTATTTTCTTTGTTCAAATCTTTTACGCCTTTGCAAATATTATTGGAACTTAGTTTATTGATCTAATTCACTGTGACGTTTGAATTGACTGTAGGCCTTATCAAACATTAGAACTTGGTACTAATCTAATGATTTTTATGTAGACGCATAATTATGTCAGTAAATTAAATTAAATTTTTAAGTCCAAATAACATCATTCTTTGTGATGTTGTTGTATTAGAAAATGTACTAAAAAGTCATAAAGAATTAAAATACTTTAATCCTGGTTTATATAACATATGAATTCCTAAAATTTATATAATAAAACATAATATAATTCAAATTTTAAAAAATAAATAAAATAATTTTTGTTATTTGTAGTTGAAATATATTTAAATTTTACTTTAAANAAATTTATATAATAAAACATAATATAATTCAAATTTTAAAAAATAAATAAAATAATTTTTGTTATTCGTAGTTAAGATATATTTAAATTTTACTTTAAAGTTAATCTGACGGCTAATATTAAAATCTCAAATTTAATAGAAAAAATAGGTCCCTAAGGGTGCGTTTGAAGTAATTTTTTAAAAGTGTTTTCTAATAATTATTTATTATAAATATTTTTAAAAAAAAAGTGTTTGAAACCACTCCACCATTACCTCTACAACCCCCCCCACCGCTCTACCGCCACCACCACCGCCGCAACCCCTATCACTACTATCGCCACCGTACCACACCCACCACTACCACCCGCACCCCCACCGCCCCACCATAACCCTCACGACCCGTGGAAGCTTATTGTGGGATCCCGACCGTGTTGTACTCAATGTCTATTCCATAATCCATTTATATTAATACGTATGTCCAATTTTTAACTCTGACTACACTGTTTGGTGTATTTGCGAACCATAAAAAGACTCCACAAGGTGCCCCACGCACGTACTTGACACGACAATACAATGAGTTCCGTGTGATATTTTTCAAGACTAAAATTCTGTCTTAACTCATCAAATCACAACCTTTTTAAAGTTTTTTGGAGTGACATGTCGATGTGGTTATCNCATTTTTGTATTTCTTTTCTTTGGTTAAACAATTATTTTCTTTGTTCAAATCTTTTATGCCTTTGCCAATATTATTGGAAGTTAGTTTATTGATCTAATTCACTGTGACGTTTGAATTGACTGTAGGCCTTATCAAACATTAGAACTTGGTACTAATCCAATGATTTTTATGTAGACGCATAATTATGTCAATAAATTAGATCAAATTTTTAAGTTCAAATAACATCATTCTTTGTGATGTTGTTATATTAGAAAATGTACTAAAAAGTCATAAAGAATTAAAATACTTTAATCCTGGTTTATATAACATATGAATGCCTAAAATTTATATAATAAAACATAATATAATTCAAATTTTAAAAAATAAATAAAATAATTTTTGTTATTCGTAGTTAAGATATATTTAAATTTTACTTTAAAGTTAATCTGACGGCTAATATTAAAATCTCAAATTTAATAGAAAAAATAGGTCCCTAAGGGTGCGTTTGAAGTAATTTTTTAAAAGTGTTTTCTAATAATTATTTATTATAAATATTTTTAAAAAAAAAGTGTTTGAAACCACTCCACCATTACCTCTACAACCCCCCCCACCGCTCTACCGCCACCACCACCGCCGCAACCCCTATCACTACTATCGCCACCGTACCACACCCACCACTACCACCCGCACCCCCACCGCCCCACCATAACCCTCACGACCCGTGGAAGCTTATTGTGGGATCCCGACCGTGTTGTACTCAATGTCTATTCCATAATCCATTTATATTAATACGTATGTCCAATTTTTAACTCTGACTACACTGTTTGGTGTATTTGCGAACCATAAAAAGACTCCACAAGGTGCCCCACGCACGTACTTGACACGACAATACAATAAGTTCCGTGTGATATTTTTCAAGGTTAAAATTTTGTCTTAACTCATCAAATCACAACCTTCTTAAAGTTTTTTGGAGTGAAATGTCGATGTGGCTATATGTATAGCTTTCTTACGATATTCATTGTCTATATAAAATCTAAAATACGATATTTTGATTAAAAAAACACAACAAAGAAAATACAATTCAAAAATACACACCACAACAAAAAGAAAAGAAAAAAGAAAAAAAAAGAAAGAAAAAATGTCTGACGAGGGAGATGGTAAATTTAACAATAGTTACAAGAACTATACCATGAGATATTGAAATTACAATCTCTCATGCCATTGCCCCAACCCTGTTTTTTTTCATTTTTCAGTCCTCCCTTTCCCTTCCGGAAAAAGAGCTCCTAACCAACAACTGCAAACCGCTCATCTTCCATTCTCTCTCTGTCTCTCTCTCTCTGTACAACCGACAACAGAAAACCCACCCCTTGTCTCTCTCCCCCTCTTTTTCTACCACCTGTTTTCTCTTTCTTTCTTGAAACTCCACTTGTCTTCTCTTTCCCTATGCTTTCTTTTTCAAATTCCGTGGGGGCTTTGTCTTAAACAAGCACGCTAACGCAGAGCAAAAATGGGGAAGTTCATGAGGAAGTCGAAGACAACAGGAGAGCGAGCCCTCGTGGAAGCCTCTCTAGGCGTACGTACAAGGGCCAAAACCCTAGCTTTGCGACGTCTCAAGAAATCCGCGGCTGCACCGCTCTCTACGGCGGCAGCGGTGGCGGACTCCGATGGGTCCTACCTTCAGCTCAGAAGTCGACGGCTAGAAAAACCCCAAATCGTTGTGGCCAACATCGATGCAAAAAGACAGAGACAGCATCCAAAACAGAGCAATTTGCCAAACCCTAGGCAAGAAAAGGTAAACCAAAACCCTAGTTCTAAAACGAGTTCGAGGTTGAGAGTTGGGTCTTCTGCCAATTCTGGGTCTTTTGGCGAAGAAAATGGTTGCATGCAGGCGGAGGACAAGATGGTGGGTAAAGAGGAGGGTTGTTTGGATACAGATAATCAAGAAATTGACAACAAAGAAGAGAGTGGTGATAGGGTTCTTGAAGCTTCTTTCGGAGAGAATATGTTCGAATTTGAAGGTAGAGAGAGGTGGGTTTTTCTGGCTTTCTCAATTTTGTTGATTTGCATACTCTGTTTGTTTGCTGGGAAAAATGAATAAACGAATTTTCTTTTTTAATTAATGTGAATAATCTTCTGTACTTTGAATTAATAAAAGTGATTTTTTGGGTTTTGGTTGATTTGGAGTTTTTGCGAATTTTTTTTTTTCATGCTCTGTTTGGTTTCTGATAAAATCTGGGAAAATTGAATAAATAGTTCTTGTGAATAATTTTATGGATTTTGAAATAATAAAGATGAATTTTTGTGCTGGGATTTTTGTTGATTAGGGCTTTTTCGGTAAAAAAAAAAAANTTGATTAAAAAAACACAACAAAGAAAATACAATTCAAAAATACACACCACAACAAAAAGAAAAGAAAAAAGAAAAAAAAAGAAAGAAAAAATGTCTGACGAGGGAGATGGTAAATTTAACAATAGTTACAAGAACTATACCATGAGATATTGAAATTACAATCTCTCATGCCATTGCCCCAACCCTGTTTTTTTTCATTTTTCAGTCCTCCCTTTCCCTTCCGGAAAAAGAGCTCCTAACCAACAACTGCAAACCGCTCATCTTCCATTCTCTCTCTGTCTCTCTCTCTCTGTACAACCGACAACAGAAAACCCACCCCTTGTCTCTCTCCCCCTCTTTTTCTACCACCTGTTTTCTCTTTCTTTCTTGAAACTCCACTTGTCTTCTCTTTCCCTATGCTTTCTTTTTCAAATTCCGTGGGGGCTTTGTCTTAAACAAGCACGCAAACGCAGAGCAAAAATGGGGAAGTTCATGAGGAAGTCGAAGACAACAGGAGAGCGAGCCCTCGTGGAAGCCTCTCTAGGCGTACGTACAAGGGCCAAAACCCTAGCTTTGCGACGTCTCAAGAAATCCGCGGCTGCACCGCTCTCTACGGCGGCAGCGGTGGCGGACTCCGATGGGTCCTACCTTCAGCTCAGAAGTCGACGGCTAGAAAAACCCCAAATCGTTGTGGCCAACATCGATGCAAAAAGACAGAGACAGCATCCAAAACAGAGCAATTTGCCAAACCCTAGGCAAGAAAAGGTAAACCAAAACCCTAGTTCTAAAACGAGTTCGAGGTTGAGAGTTGGGTCTTCTGCCAATTCTGGGTCTTTTGGCGAAGAAAATGGTTGCATGCAGGCGGAGGACAAGATGGTGGGTAAAGAGGAGGGTTGTTTGGATACAGATAATCAAGAAATTGACAACAAAGAAGAGAGTGGTGATAGGGTTCTTGAAGCTTCTTTCGGAGAGAATATGTTCGAATTTGAAGGTAGAGAGAGGTGGGTTTTTCTGGCTTTCTCAATTTTGTTGATTTGCATACTCTGTTTGTTTGCTGGGAAAAATGAATAAACGAATTTTCTTTTTAAATTAATGTGAATAATCTTCTGTACTTTGAATTAATAAAAGTGATTTTTTGGGTTTTGGTTGATTTGGAGTTTTTGCGAATTTTTTTTTTTCATGCTCTGTTTGGTTTCTGATAAAATCTGGGAAAATTGAATAAATAGTTCTTGTGAATAATTTTATGGATTTTGAAATAATAAAGATGAATTTTTGTGCTGGGATTTTTGTTGATTAGGGCTTTTTCGGTAAAAAAAAAAAAGAAGAAGAAGAAGAAGAAGAGGTTTTTGGCATGCTTTGTGCAAAATACGTTTTTTTTTTTTGCATGCTCTGTTTGGCTGCTGAGAAATTTGGGTATGTGAATAAATGAAAATTATCTTTTTATTTAGCGAGGAATTTTTTTGGAGTTTGAATGAAAAAATGTGAATTCTTTTGGTTTTTATTTGTTTTGTTTTTTTTTTGGCTGAAATATTATGGAGTTCGATAGATGATTTTTTCTTAAGACTCAATTTTGTTGATTAAGGTATTATTAATTTTATTTTTCAGAAGTGCTCTGGTGAGAAAACGTTGAAATAGTGTTGGAGTGTGAATTTTGGTTAATTAGTGTTTGTTTGAAAGATTTTTTTTATGAAGTGTTTGGTTGGTGAGAAAACTTGGGGTATATTCAGAAATTCAAAATTAATTTGTATTGTTTCTGATAAAATGTTTTGGAGTTTTATTAATTGAGTGAATAGTGACGGAATTTATTGCATTCGTTATGTGAAATTTCAATTTTTAAGATTAGTGTTTTATGTAAATGGAAAATTTTAATTTAGATTATTTAATGAAGAAAATCTTGGAAAAGTCGAGAAGAAAATTGAATAATTGATTTTCATCTTTTGGAGTTTAAAATCAATAGAGTTGAGTTTTTCCTTATTTGTGGGGAGGGAGGTTTAGAGTTTTTATTTAAAATCAATAGATTATTTAATGAAGAAAACCTTGGAAAAGTTTGGTTCGGAGCCTCCCATTCTGAGAAAAATGTAGGCAAAGAAAAGTAGCAAAATCAAGGAATGCACTAGCAAAACAGACCACAGCACTGGGACTTGCAGAGAGATATGAACTTAAAACTCATATAAATATAGCGTTTTGCACTATATAGATTATTAGAGTTTTAAGTTCATATCTCTCGGCAAGTCCCAGTGCTGTGGTCNCACTAGCAAAACAGACCACAGCACTGGGACTTGCAGAGAGATATGAACTTAAAACTCGTATAAATATAGCGTTTTGCACTATATAGATTATTAGAGTTTTAAGTTCATATCTCTCGGCAAGTCCTAGTGCTGTGGTGTGTTTTGCTAGTGCATTTGTGATTTGTAGGGGAAATTGTGTAGTTCTAAAGATTTTCTCATATTTGCTTGGCAAACCTGTAAACTCAACTCAAAAGAACAAAGTCTTGTGCAATTTTTTTTGGGGTTAGCTACATGAATTTTGTTTCGCCATTGAGCTCTATTAAGGGNAGATTTTCTCATATTTGCTTGGCAAACCTGTAAACTCAACTCAAAAGAACAAAGTCTAGTGCAATTGTTTTTGGGGTTAGCTACATGAATTTTGTTTCGCCATTGAGCTCTATTAAGGGCCATGTGTTCTCTTAAAACAAAAGTTATTATATCTTTTTTTACTATTTCATTTAAAATTAATTTTGATATTCCTTTACCCCTGTGTTTTCCGCCAATAGCTATCATATCACTCTTTCTCATTGGTGCCATAATAGGCCGTCCATAAATATGTCCAAACCACTTAAGTCAATTCTCCCTCATCTTTGTNATGAATAAACGAATTTTCTTTTTTAATTAATGTGAATAATCTTCTGTACTTTGAATTAATAAAAGTGATTTTTTGGGTTTTGGTTGATTTGGAGTTTTTGCGAATTTTTTTTTTTCATGCTCTGTTTGGTTTCTGATAAAATCTGGGAAAATTGAATAAATAGTTCTTGTGAATAATTTTATGGATTTTGAAATAATAAAGATNCTGCTGTTCCTTTCTGACCTAGAAAGCAATATGTTTGTGTTCTTTTTTTTTTTCCCCCAAATTTATCTCTATTCCTTTTCCCTGAATCACATGAAAAATGACTTGTATCTTTGTTCTTATGATGACATATTTAGCAGTGGGTTCTACCCATTTTCACAGTTTTTGTTTATTTTGTAATTNTTTTTTTTTTTCCCCAAATTTATCTCTATTCCTTTTCCCTGAATCACATGAAAAATGATTTGTATCTTTGTTCTTATGATGACATATTTAGCAGTGGGTTCTACCCATTTTCACAGTTTTTGTTTATTTTGTAAANTGGAGTTTTTGCGAATTTTTTTTTTTCATGCTCTGTTTGGTTTCTGATAAAATCTGGGAAAATTGAATAAATAGTTCTTGTGAATAATTTTATGGATTTTGAAATAATAAAGATGAATTTTTGTGCTGGGATTTTTGTTGATTAGGGCTTTTTCGGTAAAAAAAAAAAAGAAGNATTTTGTTGAGGTTTTATATAAAGAAATTGTCAGTTTTCACTGATTGGTAAATGAGCAGGAGCTATGGTTTGTTTTTCTTTNGTGAATAATTTTATGGATTTTGAAATAATAAAGATGAATTTTTGTGCTGGGATTTTTGTTGATTAGGGCTTTTTCGGTAAAAAAAAAAAAGAAGAAGAAGAAGAAGAAGAGGTTTTTGGCATGCTTTGTGCAAAATACGTTTTTTTTTTTTGCATGCTCTGTTTGGCTGCTGAGAAATTTGGGTATGTGAATAAATGAAAATTATCTTTTTATTTAGCGAGGAATTTTTTTGGAGTTTGAATGAAAAAATGTGAATTCTTTTGGTTTTTATTTGTTTTTTTTTTTTTGGCTGAAATATTATGGAGTTCGATAGATGATTTTTTCTTAAGACTCAATTTTGTTGATTAAGGTATTATTAATTTTATTTTTCAGAAGTGCTCTGGTGAGAAAACGTTGAAATAGTGTTGGAGCGTGAATTTTGGTTAATTAGTGTTTGTTTGAAAGATTTTTTTATGAAGTGTTTGGTTGGTGAGAAAACTTGGGGTATATTCAGAAATTCAAAATTAATTTGTATTGTTTCTGATAAAATGTTTTGGAGTTTTATTAATTGAGTGAATAGTGACGGAATTTTATTGCATTCGTTATGTGAATTTTTAATTTTTAAGATTAGTGTTTTATGTAAATGGAAAATTTTAATTTAGATTATTTAATGAAGAAAATCTTGGAAAAGTCGAAAAGAAAATTGAATAATTGATTTTCATCTTTTGGAGTTTAAAATCAATAGAGTTGAGTTTTTCCTTATTTGTGGGGAGGGAGGTTTAGAGTTTTTATTTAAAATCAATAGATTATTTAATGAAGAAAAACTTGGAAAAGTTTGGTTCGGAGCCTCCCATTCTGAGAAAAATGTAGGCAAAGAAAAGTAGCAAAATCAAGGAATGCACTAGCAAAACAGACCACAGCACTGGGACTTGCAGAGAGATATGAACTTAAAACTCATATAAATATAGCGTTTTGCACTATATAGATTATTAGAGTTTTAAGTTCATATCTCTCGGCAAGTCCCAGTGCTGTGGTCTGTTTTGCTAGTGCATTTGTGATTTGTAGGGGAAATTGTGTAGTTCTAAAGATTTTCTCATATTTGCTTGGCAAACCTGTAAACTCAACTCAAAAGAACAAAGTCTAGTGCAATTGTTTTTGGGGTTAGCTACATGAATTTTGTTTCGCCATTGAGCTCTATTAAGGGCCATGTGTTCTCTTAAAACAAAAGTTATTATATCTTTTTTTACTATTTCATTTAAAATTAATTTTGATATTCCTTTACCCCTGTGTTTTCCGCCAATAGCTATCATATCACTCTTTCTCATTGGTGCCATAATAGGCCGTCCATAAATATGTCCAAACCACTTAAGTCAATTCTCCCTCATCTTTGTTTCCTGCTGTTCCTTTCTGACCTAGAAAGCAATATGTTTGTGTTCTTTTTTTTTTTCCCCCAAATTTATCTCTATTCCTTTTCCCTGAATCACATGAAAAATGACTTGTATCTTTGTTCTTATGATGACATATTTAGCAGTGGGTTCTACCCATTTTCACAGTTTTTGTTTATTTTGTAATTTTGTTGAGGTTTTATATAAAGAAATTGTCAGTTTTCACTGATTGGTAAATGAGCAGGAGCTATGGTTTGTTTTTCTTTTGCATGATATGGCAAATGAGCGGAGAGCTTCGTCTCCATTGGTAAAAAAAAAAAAGAATAAAAATTGGAGTTTGTGAGTAAAATTCTTGCTGGCCCTTTTGTAGCTTGTTCTCCCAAGTGTAGGTGTGACAAAAATTTCTCATTGCCTTGTATTGTAACATGATGAATACATTTTGTGCCTTGGTAAATCGGTATCTTGAATAGCAAAGCTGTAAATGATTGGTGGGCACATGCACTTATTGAATATCAGGTGGGGTACTCTTCATGATTGGGGAAAGGAGACCGTTTACTGTTCAGCGCATTCTATTGTTCATCTCTTAACTGTGGAATTTCTACAATGTGTTTCTGATATGGATTACATCTCTGTAACAGGAGCGCTAGGGAGACCACACCATTTAGTTTGATAAGGGATCCAGACAACATCAGAACTCTTGGTTCTACTACTAGTCCTACCAGTTCAACTGAGGCTAATGGTATAATTCAAAATTCAATGGAAAGACACATTCCAATGGCACTTGAAATGGAAGAGTTTTTTGCTGGTGCAGAAAAAGAGCAGCAAAGACAATTTGTTGAGAAGTACACCACATCACCATATGTTTTTTTGTGTTTGGTTCTTTCCCTTGTGACATACTAACTGCAAATGCCATTTACCACCTTGTGGTAATATAATCTTTCCCACTGAATATTTGTTGCAGGTACAACTTTGATCTCGTGAACGAGAAACCCCTTCTGGGCCGTTATGAATGGGTAAAGATGGAGCCTTGAAAGATGTTAGTGTTTCATCATGACTTACTTTTCCTACAAATGCTCAGTTCATCTCAAGCTTGGGATAGTTTAGAACAGTTGTGGGAATTGCTTTTAGTTTTCATGGTGGTGGTATATTTCCATTTTCCGCCACCCTTCTTTTACTTGTAGAGAAAAGTAGGGCTTTCAACTAGAGTAGATTTTAGACCAATGATCTGTAACATAACAAAGCTTGAAAATTAACAGCAAATATAACCAGACCCTTTGTCTAACAGATCATTTGAGAGGGAAAGGGTAAATAGTATGATAGTTTGGGGGTTCAATGATTTAGGTTAGTGCAAGTAGTACAGAAAGTTAACTAGATATCTGTTGATATTTTGTACTGATGGAACTTCAAGAATCAAGAACCCTTCTGAATAAACATTACCCATTTCCCCCTCTTAATGTTCTCTCTCTCTCTCTCTCTCTCTCTCTCTCTCTCTCTCTCTTTCCTTCCTTCTGTGTTACGCATGGTTAGATTTTGGCCTGTTATCCTTATGTGAGACAATGCACCTTTCAGCTTTACTGTTGCGTTGAGGTCAGATTGCTTATTGACCTACCAGTTTTTGGCCTCTAGTAAGGATGTTTGGTGATGTTATTGAGTGGTAGTAGTGGTGGGGTGGGTTTGTTTGTTGAAATCTATGGGAAGAATCTTGTCTTCTCTATTGCCATTTCTGGTTTGTACTTGTATTTTCTGCAACTGATTTCCGTATGGGACAATTACAAAACTAGAAGCGTGAAGATAAGGCTTGTCGAATTAAATTTCACTTTATCCCCTGTTGTTTGGTTTAGAGTAGTAGTACATCACGAGCTTCATTGTGAAAAGTAGAGGTGACTCTACGTGTGGATAAAAATGAAACGTTATTGTTTTTGCCTGGTTTGAGATTGAGTGAACAAGAGTAAGACGACAATGATTCGGAAGTAACTATCCATTAATGGTTTGAACTAATATTACTTAGATTGTGAGTCAAATGGGTATCCGGACCGGGTACGGGATACGAGATTTCATGGATGTACAGTGGGACGAGTAAACTTTACTCGGACACGGTGTTGAGTTACAATTGGTTCTGAAACTCTTATCTTATCTTATATTGTTTTAACTATTATACAAAATTGCATAAAACTAAGCATTCATACATACTAAATGTCATTATTTTTTAAGAAGTGTGACTTAGTTTCGTGTATAAATCCGTACACGCACAATCAAGTGATGTTGAATTCATATTTGTGATACCAGTTCCAAACCTAATCAACATAAAGGTAGGGTTTTAGTGTTTAGTAATTTGAGTGATCCGGATTTTGAACCCATCCCGTTAAGGGTTGTTCTCTGTCATGTTTTCTTTTTTCTCTAAGCATATTTTTGGCTGGTTTGCATGACAAATGAATCAAGTGCTGTGCACCTCTAACCAAAGCTAAAATTGTTAGGTTCCTATTTTCATCGGAAGCAAAGT